TTCCCCATTCCAGCTCTTTAGACAGAAGCCCCCAAATCTCTGCAGTATTGCTTCCCTGCCTTTTGTGGTAAAGCATAGAGGTTGTTCCCTGGCTGGCTGCAGCAGCAAAGAGAAAAAATAGTGCAGGGACATTCTAACAGTAGAGAGTGTTCTGACTGTTTGCTGCATGTTGAGGAGCTGGGTGTAGATAAGTTACGATAGGAGCCTCCATAGCCCCCAGGGAACATGACTGTCAATGGTATTTATAGTGCTTCCACCACAGAACTTGCTCAGGGCTGTGATCATCAGCCGTGATCTCCACCATGGACTACAGAGCGGGAGGTTGGGAGCCTGGCCCATGGCTGAAGAGCTAAATGGCTCTGCTATCCTAGCCCCTTGTGCAGGAGATGCAGCATGGTCCACATGCTACTGCAGTCCAAAGGATAATCCACTACTTTGTGACAAAATCCCAAATAGAGGGAATGAAAGGAGGAGATTTGGTGGGCAGATCTTCAGCTGGTGAAAATTAACACAAATGTCATTCACTTCAAGGAAGCTATACCATCTTACACCTCAGCTCTGTGTGGTTCCTCTCTGCAGAGTTCACATGCTCAGGAATGGCTGTATCAGAAGAAATGGTCCATTTAGGCCAGGATCCTGCTTTCCAACAGTGGTCAATAATGATGCTTCAGAGAAAGGGGCAATAAGCTGCTCATGGAGATTGTGACAGTTCTTGGGGCAGCCGGAACTGAAAGTCATTTTGTTACCCTGGCTCCAGAGTGGGAGAGTCTTGCCCATGCCTGGCTGGTGTCAGCTCCCCACCAGACTTTCCACCAATGACTCAAGCACCCTCCTCAGGGCTATGCCAGCTCAGCGTGGCTTTGCAGATTAATAGGTGCATCCCAGTCCTTGCATCTTTTTGCATTATGCACAGTCCCTGCCTACTTTTGCAATATACAGCCGCACAGTAGTCCAGGATCCTCTTCCCCCACAGGTGCAGTGAACCCCAGATTACTAGGAATGCACTAAACCACTGCTCCTGTAAACCACAGCATTTGGGGGCACTTAACGATCCCCTTCTGTTTCGTGATAAATCTGATTTAACTATAAATGGTTACAATACCAACGGAAGTGGAAACAACTGATTGTAACACAACAGCAAAAGGCACAAAACGCAAACCTGGGTTACCTACTTTTATCAATAGCTACCTTTGTCTGTCAAAGTAGGTTTCTTCCCTAACTTTCAGTCCATTGCAGAGCTCGTGATTTTACAAGATCCAGCAGGATCCAGACATTCATGAAGCCACCCCCACTCCCCAAGGTGCTTTGTTAGTAGATAGAGTATGTTTCTCCCTCCTTGGGATTATACTGAACACAGCCTTTAATTTATCTTCACAGACTTGGCAAACCCATCTTCCTGGAATATTCCTTTTTCTAAAACCTTCTGGTGATTTTGATTGGGTGCAGTTGCCTTTGATGGTTTTCAATGGAAAGTGTTAGCATTGGGCAAGTCTAAACAATTTACCCTTGTGTTGCATCACCAGCTTACCAGGATAGAGTGACAACTCCACTGTGTTAGATGCACCATCACCGAGCCAGTAATCCCTGGTGACTCCCTTATCTCCTGTGTATGACTCCACTTTGTTAGATGCACCACCACTGAGCCATTAATCCCTGGTGACTCCCTTATCTCCTGTGTATACATCTCACAATGGCCATGAATCTTCACATATCACGAGCTTTCTATAGCTCTTACATTTTACTCTTTATGAATAAATGTCCTGTGACATGTGTTTGGTGTAGTGCATTGGTCAAGTCTGCGGTGAGAGCTGTTTGCAGGACAAAGAGTCCCCTGTCCCAAGGAGACTGTCACAAAGATCACTTCCTAACTTCACTAGAATGGATAGTTTATATCATGAAGCATGGGGATTTATATCCTTTATACATTTTTCACTTGCGTAGCTACCTCAAGGACCAGGATTTTACCCTCAGTAAGGGAATGTCTACACTACCCTTCTAGTTCGAACTAGGAGGGTAATGTAGGCATACCGCACTTGCAAATGAAGCCCGGGATTTGAATTTCCTGGGCTTCATTTGCATAACCCTGTCCCAAGGAGACTGTCACAAAGATCACTTCCTAACTTCACTAGAATGGATAGTTTATATCATGAAGCATGGGGATTTATATCCTTTATACATTTTTCACTTGCGTAGCTACCTCAAGGACCAGGATTTTACCCTCAGTAACAGTGGCAGGATTTTAAAAGAATAATTAAAATATATAAAATCTGGTTGAAAATGAGCTAACAATTTAAACAGACTGAACATCCCTCCTTTCCCTCCTGGTTTAAAGTGAGAAGCCCATAAGCCTCATATTAAGCAAGCAGTACACTAGAAAAGCAAAGGGACAGATAATTTACCAAGCTAAGGAAACTAAACAATGTGGGGTGAGGGCTAAGGAACACAGAGGGCTAGATTTACACCCGCTGAGGATCTTTATACTAAAGATACAAATGGAGGTTAGGACACTGGCCATTGTCTTCTACAGGCTTTGGATTAGGCCTGTGGTTGAGTGAACTTACACCTAAATTGTATGTTATTAGATGTTTATTGCTCTGTAACAAGCAGTTTTCTGAAATAACTGATGGCTCTTAATACCCTAACCCAACATTCCACAGATTTCTGAAAAGCTATAACACTTTTCTGAAAGTCACTTACCCAATGAATTTAGTCTGTGCTAGAGTCTCTGCTGATTTTGAGGGGTTTTCTTTATTACTTGGGGTAAGAAATAGGCCTGCTCAGTTATAGTAAAGTAGCCTGATGATACTTGAATCAAATTTCTTTGCAATATAGATCTTGGGCCATGTTGTCTATTAGACTGCAAACAATGTTGACAGATTCTTAGATTAGTGGTGACAACATCTTTATAAAGCTGTGAATTGGTTTTGCTCATAAGGTATCTTTTTCTTGCTGCTCAGAATCCCTAAAGCAGAAGGACAAGTCCCCTCCACTTCTCCCCAAAAAAGCTCCATTTTAAGAGATTCTTTAGGGGGAAAAACTGTTTAAACAATAGTTTGAAAGCAGAGAAATTCATGGAGCTCAGTGTAGTTATTCCAGATGTACACTAGCATCCTGAGATGGGATTTGACTCAGATTTTCATTGCTGTAACTAAGATCAGACATGACTGCACACTGCAGCACATTCATTCCTGAAGAGAACTAGTGAGCCAAAATTCAACTGGTGACCACAATCCCTCATTGAAGAGTCCTCGGATGAAATTCTGGGTCTCTTGCAGTGGAGCCAGGATTTCAGCCATGGAGAATTTAACAGACCATTATAAACTCTCTCTAGGCTTTTTGATCTATCATTTAGAGTTGAATAGAAAATTCTGTAAAAAGCTAAAGAAAAGTTTTTAAATTACATTCAGTGGGTTTTATGGTAATTTTAGTATAAAGCTATAGGCTTCTTTCATATTCAGCACTATAGGATTTTTCCATTAGTGATTCACATGCCAAATGCTGCCTTTTCTCTCTCAGATCCAAGGCGCAAAAGAGAGTGCAACTGGTAAAGCAGCACTACAAAGTCAAGTGTCAGCCTACAAAGTGCCCTGGAGGACAACTAAATACTTCTGGCATATTCATTAAAGGGGCAGCAGCATCCATGCAGATCTGGCTGTTGGTTTCCTTCAGCAACTACTACAGAGAACAACCAACTTTATCAAAGAGTTTAATGATAACAGTAAAGAGAAGAACATACAGGACTCAGACTGGGTTTGTGACAATGTGTTAATAAAAGGGAATTTAGAAGAATGTTAGTTTCAGCCGGTAGCAATATCCCTTCATTTCAAAAACTCAGATGAATAACTCAGAGTAAAATCATGAAAACTAACATGCCGGTGAGTAATCCTTACTCATATGAGCAACCTCACTAAGGGCAACAGGACCACTAAAGATTCAAAATCCTTATGTGAGGGAGTAAAGAGCTAGCTCTCTATTTGCATCCTATTGGGACTTAATTAGCTTGGTGTGTTTCAGAGTCAATTGTTAATATTCCTGGGTCTATTTGCTGGCAGTAGGAATAGGACAGCATCCTATTGGGACTTAATTAGCTTCTTGTGTTTCAGAGTCTATTTGCTGGCAGTAGGAATAGGACTAAAAGCCTTAGAAAAAATATATTTCGCCTGCCCCCCAATACCTATCTGTCTGATCTCTTCTACCTCCCCCCCCCAAAAAGGTCAGATTCTACTAGTGTTGCTTTAATTTCAAAAAAAAGATCAGATTCTACTAGTGTTGCTTTAATTTATATTATTATACTTAATTTTAAATACAGTCCATAACTTTCCAAGTTTGGCTATCTGGTATAATGTTGGCCAGTATTGTATAGAAATATTTTTAAAATATAGATTATTTAGAAAGAGGAATCATTGTTAGGTATAAATACAATAAATAAGTGCTGTATATACCCTTTCACTATCCATTGCTTTGCCTTATAAATTCTAGCATATTGTTTATGAACAGCATCTAAGAAAGGATGGAATTAAAAGTCTAGAGTTTTTGTAGCCACTCACAATATTGTGTTAGATTCTAAGCTATATAAATCTAGCCTTTGTGTTCCTTACACACCCTTGTCTCCCCCATTTTGTTTCCTTAGCATGGTATATTACCTGTCCCTTTATTCTGCGCTGCTTGCTTAATGTAAGACATTGGATAGGAGCTTCTCACTTTAAGCAGAGAGGGAAAAAAAGCAGCTCCTTTCTGTGCTGTGTAAGATTCAGTATAATCCCTGTAGGGGATGAAAAATAACAGCATCTGGAGTCCAGTGCTAATACAAGGGGGTTGGCAAACAACTATCAGAGTCTTCAAGTGCGTCCAAAACTCAGATCTCTGACATCAATGAAAAAAAGCTCCATCAACTAAATTAGCTCACAGCTATATTTGCATAATGGGTCCAGAGGCGGCACAATATAAGTAGGGAGGCACTAACCATCCAACGAGAACTTCGCACCCATTCTATTGGATACTGCAAGTGTCTGTAGTAAAGAAGGGCAACTCTGCAGCTCAGATGTGCAAATACTTCTAAAGAAAGAGCGAAGTGAAGATCCTCTTGGGAGAAAGACCCACCAAAACCACATAATAAACCAGGTAATTTATACATTTTTCAGCTGCCTACTTTAACTTTTGTTCGCAAGATTATACTGGACAGCACAGCATTTCTCAGCATCATGCTGTTAGAGCCCCTATTCAAGAATTTTATCAGAAGGTAACAAAACCCTGTCATCAAAAGAGGTAACACTTGTTTTCTGTTTTGAAACTGGTGTATTGTTCTGTAAAAAACTTTGTAGTAGAGTATATATTCCTTCCACTGAAGGAGTCTGCTAGAGATGTTATTTAGCTAGATAGAACGTACAGTAACATAGCTTTCTGAAATGAACTTCATTGCTTGGTAAAGAAATGATCTGAGCTTAGATAAAAGGTGCTAGGAGCCTCAGGAATAGTGCAGACAGATCAGAACAAATGCAGGTACTATTTTTATGCATGTAGGTTGTAAAGAATACCACATTGTATTACCTGACTTGCAGTAGCACCCCAAAGTGGTAGGTGCTTTTGAAACAGGGAAGATGGTCCGTGACCTAAAGAGTGTACAAAATAGGTCTCACGCTCACACACTCCTCCCCCCCATTTTGAGGGTATTCTCACAAGAAGTAAAACTCAGCTGCTTATTTAAAATTGATTTCTAACTAACAACAGAACAAAACTGTGCTGCAAACTCTGGGATTATTTTGAAGCAGTTGTTTAAGAGGGAGTTATTTAATGAAAGTGAATTTTAGGGCAGATGTGGGTGTAAACACATGAAACAATATACTAACAGTTCAAAAGGAAGGACTTCTAGTCTGATCAAAAGATATTAAAAGTGATCAATTTGTATCACATTTGAAACAAATAACTGTGCTGTATAGAAAGTGAGCTAGCCTTCACCATTCCCTACAAAGAATTTACAAATGAATTTAAAAAAAAGTTAAAGAGTGCTCAGAACAATTAAAAGGGACAAGAAATAATTTCCACAAGAGACTCCAGGCTCTGCAGCAGCAGCACAGAGTGCTGGAGAGATTGCACTTACCCAGGCTTCTTCCCGAGTTACTGGTAACGTTGTAATGGTTGTTGATTTTGTTCCATTGCCCTCCTCTGTCCTTTACTTTCCCATGAAAGTTGCAGGAACTTCTGTCCCATAATGATATCAGTCTGGCTGCTGCTGCTGCTCTCCCTGACTCTCTCCAGTGCCTGTGTCAATCTGGGGCAGCCCATTCCAGAGGCAAATGAGAATGGAGAGAGAAGCCACTTGGATGACATACTGCAAAGGGCTGAAAGCATCATCCTTCGGTCTATCCTGAAGAAGGCAGAAGAGGAGGAAGAGACTAATAAAGGTAGATGTGATATTGGTGCTAACAGCACGTTACTTACATGGAGATCTTTCCTTTCATTGCTATTTATGCTTAGTTCCCGGGCTCTGTTTGTCTTGTGAATAATAAATAAAGGGAAAGAAAGAGGTAGGCCAAATGTGACAGAGAAATCATGAAGAGATTTTTCTTCTCTAGGGGAACTTACCAGCTAGGAACTGCTGCACCCAATCAGACCAATGCTCCAGCTAGTCTGGCATCCTAGGGAAGATGCTTCAAAGGGAGAGGATAGAATCCCTACAACGAAATAACCTGCCTAGAGAGAAAATTCCTGCAGTGGCAGCTCTAAGGGGAGGCGCAGAGGGCATTTGGTGACTGTGCCTCCCTATGGCTAATATGTTAAAACAGGGCAAGAATACTCTAAACTACCCCTTGCTAACTACTCCTTGTCCCCTGGCTGTCTGCTGCACCTTACCACTCACTCCCTGTCTGACTCAAAGGGTTGGTGGTCGGTTTCTAGCGGAGTGCCCCAAGAATCTGTTCTAGGACCGGTTTTGTTCAACATCTTTATTAATGTCCTGGATGAGGGGATGGATTGCACCTTCAGCAAGTTTGCAGATGACACTAAGCTAGGGGGAGAGATAAATACACTGGAGGGCAGGTATAGGGTCCAGAGTGACCTGGACATATTAGACGATTGGGCCAAAAGAAATCTGATGAAGTTAAACAAGGACAAGTGTAGAGTCCTGTACTTGGACAGAAGAATCCCAAGCATAGTTACAGGCTGGAGACCAAATGGCTAAGTAGCAGTTCTATAGAAAAGGACCTGGGGATTACAGTGGATGAGAAGCTGCATATGAATCAACAGTGGCCCTTGTAGCCAAGAAGGCAAATGGCATATTAGGGTGCATTAGGAGAAGCATTGACAGCAGATCCAGAGATTATTCCCCTTTATTCGGCTCTGATGAGGGCACATCTGGAGTACTGTGTCTAGTTCTTGGCCCTCCAGTATAGAAAGGACGTGGACAACTTGGAGAGGGTCCAGGGGAGGGCGACCAAAATTATTAGGGGGCTGGAGCGCATGACCTATGAGGAGAGACTAAGGGATTTGGGTTTGTTTAGTCTGCAGAAGAGAAGAGTGAGGGGGGGATTTGATAGCAGCCTGAAGAGAGGTTCCAAAGAGGACGGAGAAAGGCTGTTCTTAGTAGTGATGGATGGCAGAACAAGGAGCAACGGTCTCAAGTTACAGTGGGGGAGGTCTAGGTTGGATATTAGGAAAAACGATTTCACTAGGAGGGTGGCGAAGCACTGGAATGGGTTACCTAGAGAGGTGGTGGAATCTCCATCCCTAGAGGACTTTAAGTCTCGGCTTGACAAAGCCCTGGCTGGGTTGATTTAGTTGGGATTGGTCCTACCTTGGGCAGGAGGCTGGACTTGATAACTTCCTGAGGTTTCTTCCACCCTATAATTCTGATTCTAAGTTTTCATGGTGTGCCCAGGCTGCCATCTCTGGCAACAGCTCATACATCCTCTGTCTGATGGGCAGCTAGTGCAAGAGAAGATGCAGGTAGCTAGAAATCCTGCCTTCAGAAGAAAAGGGAGAGGGGAGCTGGCACTAGAAAGTGCCCTCTCCCCCATCTCCCTAGAAATGTATGGGATTTTTTAAAAATAAAAGCAGAGATTCTCAGGTAGTGACATGAATCCAGGAGCTGGGACTTTAAGGAAAGCTACTAATTCTGCAAGACTTGCGATGAAATCACACAAACTGGCCACATTGAGTCTCTCTCTGCCCTATCGCTTCCATTGGCATGCAGTTCCTGCGCCCTGTGCCCACCTCTGCAGGCACTGTCACTCATCTCCTCTGCCTACCCGGTGCAGGCATCCTCCAGCCCCGGCCTGATTCTGTAGCTGCTCTGGCCCCCAGAATTTTATGGCACAATGCTCTAGAATAGCATGCTGGGCCCTACCATTGGATTCCTTAATTATTTTACAGAGTGGACTTCTTTCCTTCAAGCCGTCCTTCCTGAAATGTTCCTATGCCAGTCTGCACTGAGCTACACCCTCCAGAGTAATCCCATTCTAGTCTGGAGTTACTCTATGTTTATGTTTGTGGACTGGGAGTGGATTATAGCCCTATGCTCCCTCCAGAGCTATAATAAAAATACCCCCGGGAGCTCACATTTCAGCGTCCTGATGAATAAGGGTAATCACGAAAGTTCAGTATTTGGTCCTGTTACTCTACGTTTATGTTTGTGGACTGGGAGTGGATTATAGCCCTATGCTCCCTCCAGAGCTATAATAAAAATACCCCGGGGAGCTCACATTTCAGCATCCTGATGAATAAGGGTAATCACGAAAGTTCAGTATTTGGTCCTGCCATGAGGGCGGGGGACTGGAATCGATGACCTCTCGAGATCCCTTCCAGTCCTAGCATTCTATGATTCTATGATTAATGCTGATCATTTCCTTGGACAGAACCAAGTGCTTCTCAGCCAGGCTGGTTTTCCAAACGACAACATCCTGGGAAGAGATTCCTAACTGACCTAGAGAAGAGGCAGCATCCTGGGAAAAGGGAGGAAGACGACGACAGTGACTTGGAGTTGCAGAAGAGGCAGCATCCTGGCAGGAGGTCACTGTGGGACCAGTACATGGATATCCCTAGCACTCAACTGGCCTATCTGCATGAACTATCCAAAAGGCAACATCCAGGCAAGCGGTATCTGATTTATACAAAGCGTCAGCACCCTGGCAAGAGGAGCTGGGATGACGAGCTGGATCTGAGAGACCAAGACATGGAGAAACGCCAGCACCCTGGAAAAAGATATGTGGATTCTGAAAGCACAGATTATGATGCCCCCTGTGATTTCCAGGAGTCCTTCAACTGTAGCAAAGGTAGCTTATTGCTCGAGTTGCTAGATAATGTCAACAAGGGCAGAGTAGAAGAGAAGCGGCAGCACCCTGGGAGGAGGTTTGCCTGGGAAGGTGAGGCAGGGTCAGATGAGTGAGAATGGGCGATAGCATTGGGCATCATTTCCATTTGATTCAGAGAGTTCTGCCAGACCACTTAAAGTTCTATTGATTCCCCTCTGACTCCCTGCTGCTGACCTGCCTTATGAGTAAATCCTTAAAAATAAAGTTAAAGTACTGAGGACTGACGTCCCAATTCAGCAAGGTACTTAGGCATGTGCATGGTCCCACTGAAGTCAATGGCACTATTCACGCATTTAAAGAAATGGATGTGCTTAAATACCTTGTTGACTATGGGGCAATGGGCCTAATGCGGACAAGTGCTGAGTGCCTTCAACTCCCACCATCATGGAAATTGAGGGCGCTCAGTATCTTGCAGGATCAGGCTTAAAGATGATACCTTTATATGCATCCATCAACTGCATCTCCTGAGGATTAGAATAGCTTGGTGTATGCATTCAGGATACTAAATGATGAAGCAGAATAATTACATGGCTCTTCTTATGCAAGTGGGGAAAAAATGAATTTACAGAGAGGGAGAGGAAAAAACTGTATGAAGTGATTTCAAAATGAAATTTAACAGGGTTTTATTTGAAATGCTAAATTAGTGACAAACGTACACTTATGCACATCAACCTGTTCTGATAATAAGCATTAACTCCTGGATAGAGAGACTATGCATGAATGTAACAGACTGAATGTTTAGCTTTACATCTTGCCATCAAACAATTGACTCAAAAGCAAACTATTTCATCTAGGAAACTACAGAATAAGGACATTTAATGCATCATGTAACAATTCAACAAACTGAGAAGAGTGCTGTTGTGTGAACACAGTTGGGTCCTCTAATCAGTACATCGACATTTCAGTCCCTTGGTTTAATACCAATGTATTCTCTTTACTGGATAGCAACATTTTAAATTGCAACAAGCAGGCATTTTCTCCCTAGAATCATTTTTGTTCTTCTAATTAAGTTTCTCCCGCCCCCACCTCCAAAATGTCTTCACTTTGTGTGGTCTACAGATTCTGCAAGTTATTTATTTGGCATGAACAATTCAATAAATATCAATAGTCAATCCCATTGTAACTTCGGGTGTCCTTTATGGTTGTGCAAATGCAATTTGATAATGTGAAAAATATCAAGTCCTCCTGAGTTTACATGTGTATGAAAAAATATTTTTCTAGAAAATATCATCTTGTGTCCTGGTGGTTGCTATATGTTTATATATAAAACTATTTTGCTATTCAAGTGGAAGACTAATTTGTATAAAAATATTAGAGTCCCTTTGGAAACCTTCTACTTGTGTAGTACAATAAAAATATGCATCTGAAATAAACCCACAAGCAGCCTTGTTACCCAGTTGCACAGTGAAATTTGGTTGAGTCTGAGGAGCCTTGTACACAAAAGGATGTTTTAGTCAGTCTGTTCTACATGACATAAGAAATTCTGTTTCTTTGGTACATGTGCAAGTTGAATCTTGAAACTTCAGTCAATCTGTGCAGCATGGGTATGTGTCTGTACATAGATACCCATCTATGGGAGTGACGAGACACACAGTAACTCACCAATTATTTAATGCTTGGAAAACACTGTGTGTAGTAACCAGTTCCACAGGTATAACTGAGATTGGGATCTGACCTGCATACACAGATTGTGTATTTGTATATACGTTTCACATTAGATGTCTAAGCCATCATTTGTACATACTGTATAACTATAATATTTGTATGTGGTTGTGGTGACAAGCACACTGGACTGCAATGCACACCATCCTAGGTTTCCATTATTTTCTTGTTTTTCAAAGCAGCTTTATCCTACCTGATTAATCTGATCAAAATATTTACAGTAATACAAAACTTCCATCCTATAAAAGTAATGTTCCTTCCCATACAATATAGTTTTAAAGCTTTAAGAGCATATACAGTTTTTTAACCCTGGAGAACTTCACTGCTTAGACATGTTGGTTTTGCCATATGGGTTTGTTACCCTGGAGAGAAATAATTAACAATCTCAGCAAGTTTCACTGAAGTTAGAGGTTCCCAAGGAGACCCACATGCAATGTGGTCAATCATATAGTTTGCATCTTTGGAGATAATTTGTTCTGTTACATGCCTGTGATAACTGGCAGGCATCAATTACTGGCAATGGCTTTCTAATTAAGAACTAGTGAGTAAATCCTCAAAGCAGATAGATGGGTACATCTTGTACATCCCTCAACATCCCTCGGCACATTTTCTGCATAAGGTGCCTCAGGTATTTCTCATATTGTAATAGAATAGGAATTAGTTTACAGACATTTCCATGTGCATTATTCCATGCATAATTTCCTATTTATCAGGCCTTTTAAAACCGGGAGAACTCTAACAATGACATGTGATCACCAACATGTGTCTTAACAGGTGCAAATAAAGAAATGGGGATAGAAAGTTCTTCATAAATGTTAAGAATGGACAAGCATTGCAAAGCACCAAACAAAACACAGAATCCCACCAGATGGGGACCCTTGTGAATCTACTCCAAGGACGCTGAAGGAAGAAGACGCAAGCAGCTAAATAAACTAAACTAAATTAAATTAAAATCAGACTCGTGCTTCTGCAGCAGTCTAGGATCTTAGGGAAACTCCTCCTGCTAGTCAAATTTATTCAGACAAGGCTAAACGCTGTTCAATTTAAGGAACTAATAGCAAACAGAGTCGCTGTTGAGGGTAAGGGCTCAGAGGGTCAAGTGCCCAGGGACCCAGTGATTTAAAGGGCCCGGGGCTCTGCCACTGCTGCTACCATAGCGCCAGTGTCCCAGGCCCTTTAGATCACAACTGGAGCCCTATGCGGTGCAGTCTGGGCAGTGCAGAGGGTGGGATGTCCTTTAGCTCCGCCCCTTGCAGAGGATCCCAGAGCCAAGTCCTCCCCACGTTACCCAGTGCCTGGCAAAGTCTGTCGCCTGCCCTGAATGTGAATGAGGATAAGAGGACACAGAGAATGACACCATGAAAAATAGTGTACCTGTATTAGCAATAGCACTGCAGATCACTACAATATAGAGTAAAGTTTTTAAAAATCCAGCTTACTTTTCACTCTGGATACTTTTGCCCTTCTCTCTCTGGAGGGAATGAAAATCATCAAAGTCAGTTGCACTTATTCTACAACTGGTTTTTATTTCAGGATTTCAGCACCAGCAGTGGATGCTCATGTTTAAAGAAAGCAACCAATTCAGTCAGATTTCCTTTTAAAAGGAATTATTTTTATCAGCATTAGATACTGAAAAAGCTTGTTTTCCTGGGTGGTGGGGGGCTACATTTTAGGCCAAATCTGAGATGACAATGTTTTACATTAAGATTAAGTTTAACATCTTTTTTGTGACTGAAATTCTTTGCGACTGGCCTGAACTTGGTAATGAAGCACTGTTAGCACTGAACTAAGCCAGGCATAATGTACGCAGAATGAGATGTTAGAAAAATCTTCCCTCACACAGGGAAGTGCACCTCAATCCTTGGCCACGATTAGGGCTGGCTGGAAAAACAGCAACAACTCCATTTTGCAAATACATTTTTGAGGTTTCACACTTTGTTTCTTTTGTAATGCAGCTCAAAACCAAAACCGTAAGAATTTTGTCAGGAAAAATCAAGAGATCAAGATACCCCAGAATAGCCATTAGCCTGTTAGTGTACTGACCTGGGATGCGGGAGACCCCAGCCAACTCCCTGCTCTGCCATGAAATAGCATTTCTCAATAGGAAAAGGGTTCTCATCAACACTCCATGTCGTCCAATGTCAGTCCCCTGAAAAGTTCTGGGACAGCTCCTAAAGAAGGGATTCCCAAGCAGAGACCAAATCCAGCAGAATCTGTTGGTAAACTGGGGCTGCTTTAGCCTGGTAGTCCAGTCAAAACTGGAGTGAGTCATAGGATTCCATTCAGAGAAGTGCAGGTCTTGGGCCTGTCACTGACAAGACAGTCAAGGTGCGCCTACACTTTGGGCTGGAGGGGCGCATTGCAGCTCATGGAGAGTTCCCCTGCTAGTGCACGAAACACAGAGTGCAGCTGTGACCTCTTGCCCTGGTGGGGCACATATTGGGAAGGCCAGACCGACTGCTGCCTGCACCTTCACTCTACTTAGTGCAGTAGCTCGATCAGCTAGTGTGAGTGTCTCTCCTCTCCTCAGGCGGGAATTCACACCTCCAACTTGAAGGAGAGAGCACGATCACAGCCACAGCTCACCCTGCTCACTATTGTAACAGCAGCACACTCCCATTTGAAGTGCTTCTTCCCAGTGTCACATATTGGCTGTGAAGTATGCAGGTTGGATTATGAAACAGGAGATAATATTAGTGAGGAGCCTGAATTAGATCCCCAGATCTGAAAATCCACAAACTTTGTTGGGAAGGATCCTAACTCTGCACTTCACTATAATTGCTAGAAAGTATTTTTCAGAGATGTAGGAACCTTCAGACCATGCATATCCATGGAACCTATTACTGACCTGTCGCCACCTCCGAGATGCAGGATGGCAGCTGCTCTGACTTATCGCTTGTAGTGGGGGAGGAATTTGGCCAAGTCATTGGGGCAAAACTATTCTTATGGGATATATAATCAGTACGCACAGCAAATGGACCTATGTTTCTCGGGTCTCATCAGAAAAAGACACAGAATGCAGCTTCTCAGCCTTGAAAGGTTACAAGTCAGATTGCATCCTACTGGCCCCAAGGAGTCTATGTATTTCAAACATGATATGGAAGGCTCTAGGCCAGTGATCCCCAACGTTGCGTGGCTGCCGGGCACCCGGGGGCGGGGCCACGCACGTGCCGCGCGCCCAGGGGCGGGGTCACGCATGAGC